TATATTTTATATATATATATATATATATATATATATATATATATATATATATATATATATATACAAAACCACTAGAAACTAGATTTAGAAAAATACAGTTTATTTACTAACAAAGACACTTATTTGTTAGTTTTATTTCCCTGTTTGTTTTTCTTGTAATATGACTGCTTTATTCTCTAATATATCTGGCGCAGGTGTTGAAATATTGCTGCACATCTCCAAGAACAATAGAAGTCCTCTTCAACGCATATGACCGTCTCAAAATCACTGAAGCCTGGGTAGAAGCTGTACCTCCTGAGGTGTTTCAGGTTAGATGATGTCAAGCTTTTTATTTTTTTCTCAATTACAATGTATTAAATATCGAAGTAAATGTTAAAAAGCAAGTTTTATTCAAATAAAAAGCACCTAAAGAGCTCAAAATAATTTTCTCACAATAGCAGATAATATAAATTAAGTATATTGTTTTCACACAGAAACACCGGGAATTCTACGAATCCCTGTTTGCACTGATGCAAACTCCTCGATCTCTACAGCATTTGGCCCGTCACAGACTCCGAGCGTTCCTAGAAGGTCGCTTACATAAGGTGGTCCCAATACTGGGTCTACCAACCTTTCTTAAAAATTACCTAATGCTGGCATTCAGAGACTATATTCACTGAGAGAGACCACAAACCTGACACTGTACAACATATAGTATAAGCATGCAGTGATTGAGTTTTGTACCATGATGTACCATTGAGGTTTGTTTTATTCTGTGTGATCCTGAATGATTTGTGTTGGAAAACTGTCTTACCGAAGATGATACAATCAGGTAGCAATTTTATAGGGAATCATTAAATGGAAGTAATGCTTAATGCCAATCTGTGATAGAGATTTTTTAATGTAAAATGTGTTTTATTATTACTGATATCTATTTTAAAGCATTTGGGAAAGAAGATAGAAGGTTGTTTATGAAGAATAAAACAGGAGGAGGATGCAGAAGGTCTATATATATATAATATCCAGTGCAACACACATTCATTACTACATTAACTACCACAGTGGGGCGCCATGGAGCTCAAGTGGAATCTGAATTCCTGTTGTAAGTTTTCAAATTACTGATAGGAGTCCATACATAAGTGACAGATTTTCAATGATATATATTTAAAAGTACCATTCTGAATGCTTCTGAAATACTGATCTAAATGAAATAAAAAAGCATTTTTTTCAGGAAGTCAAGGTTCTATTATTCTATTGTATTTGATCAAATTGTCCATTTTTAAGAGCTTGCTTTGATTGATTTTCTTGTCTACACTGAGGTTTTCCTTACCATTTACAATTATCCTGTTTTTCCATCATATTTTATATTAACAGAGGACGACAGAAAATCTTGCTGAAACATTACAATTCAATGATTTGACATTCATATTCAACATTTTAAGGTCAAGATTTGACAAGATGGTGTCTATTACAAAAGGGGTTAGACTGAGTCAATTAATAGTGTTTTAGATGTGGAAGACAATTTAGATAATGAACGATTATGTGGATTTTTATGAAAACTACGGATTACATTATTTTCAAACTGTTGAGTTCCACAAGTATGCATCACGTCCATTTTTGTTACAGGTTATCATCAAGTCTGAGAGGGTCTCATGTATTTAATGATCTTGTCACTTCGAACTCATTAAAAAACACCAACAATGCAATGGACATTTGACTAAAATGATTTACCAGAACAAATTATGAATAATAATAATATTTTTGGTTGAATTTATCCATTAATGAAGATGCTTAGTAGTATTACTACAGGGTGGATGCTGGTAAAGTGGAGCACTTTCTGATAATTTACTGCTATTTAATATATAGATAGATAGATAGATAGATAGATAGATAGATAGATTGATTGACTGATTGATTCTAAAAAATGCTGGGTTAAATACAACCCAGCACTGGGTAAATTAATAAACAAATGCAGAGACTGGGGTGTTTTGACCCAGCGGTTGGGTTACCCACAAGGTTGAGTTAAACATTTAATCAAACCGCTGGGTCAAAACACCCCAGTTGTTGCGCTGCTTGTATTTAACCCAGCATTTTTTAGAGTGTAGATAGATAAATAGATATAATCCAAATGTCAACTTAATGCATATTTTTACCTGGTGTCCCATTTTACCTGTATTCATCCTCATGCATAACTGTAGTAAAATCATAGTACATTTTAGAAATAAAAAATGACTCTCTATTATGCTGCACTATTTGGATATAAAGTTATTAATTGCGCGTCGAAGATAATAAATCCTAGGTTTGTGCTTTTTTCTTCTAGTGTATACATGTAGTGAAGAACAAAGGTGCAAAGCAATTGTCTACGAACAGATCTTTGATAAAAGTCTCATATACGATGACTAGGAGGAGGGGGGCTCTGATTGTATCCCATTCAGTAGCGTGTGTGTGAGAGAGAGAGAGAGAGAGAGAGAGAG